CCTATTTTCTGGACATGTCAACTACCCACCCACAAGGCCTGCGTCTGCCAGGATTCAACTTCAGCTTATTTTCCCTCATCTATCCTATGACTGTATCCAGGCAGCAGTCCAGGGCTTGTGCACCCTCACCTGACTCAGATGTAATGAAGGAATAGAGTTGTGTATCATCAGCATACTGATGACATTTTGCTCCAAAACTAACTAATGACCTCTCCCAACAGCTTCATACAGTCAGTGAATAGCATTGACCTGTGGCATCCCGTAGTATAAACTCCAGGGTGCCGAATAACACTCTCCCAATGCTAATTTCTGGACATGACCCTGCACGTAGGAATGGAGCCATTACAGCACAGTGCCACTGAGACACATTCTGCAGAACTGGTGCAGAAGGATACCATGGTCAAGGGTACTGAAAGCTGCTGAGAGATTGAGAAGAAGGAACAAGGTTGCACCCCCTCTGCCCCTTTTCCTAAAGATTATCCTTCTAGACAACCAAGGCTGATTTGGTCCCCAATCAATGCCTGAACCCAGAGTGGAATGGATCCAAATGATCAGTCTCAACCAGGAATTCCTCCACAGCTCTTTCAGTCAGATCCCCCAGAAAGGATTTGTGACCAAGCAATAGTTGTTGGAATCCATTGGGTCCAGGACTGGCTTTTCCAGTAGAGGCTATACTACTGCCTCCTTTAAGGTGGCAGGCACCCCTCACTCATGCAATAAAGCACCTATCCAATCAGTCTCCACCAGCCCAATTTTACCAGCCACAATGACCTGGGATTGAGAAGGCACACAGAGATTAAATGCTAGAGAGCCTCAAGTGTTGGCAAAAGAGGGCATAGCTCCATGGTATAGCACAGACTTTGCATGTAGAAACTTCCATGTCCAATTCCTGGCTGTAATTGTTATGGTTATTATTTTTAGAACTATTTCAGCCCTTCAGCAATATACATGTCTGCAGTAACTTCAGCATGTTCCAACAATGGTATTGCTAGGAATGAAACTATTTGCATTAGCAGAAATACAGCTGAATGAATAAATCATGTAATCTAACAATTTCCCTCAGTCAAGATCATAAATTTGAAACTGGAGAGTGTGTTATCCAACACCAGATAAAGTAACTGGGATCATTCTATCTGGGCTGTAGGCTTAATCCTGGATTAGCTTCCCTATTGATCAGCAGCATCTTTGTCTTCTTAGCCCATTCAATTGATCACTGATCACATTCAATTGATCACTGGCTTTAGTCACACATCACATTAAACCACAGTTTTAAATAGATTATGGGTTGATGCGAATGCTCAAAAGTTCCTGCAGCTCCCTTGTTCCTGCTGCTGTTGCTGCATCACAGACAAGACAAACCAGAGTCATGTCACCCAAACCTGGATTTGTGGTTCATTTCCCACAAAGCCACTTCCGGCCTGCCCAGGAGGTGGGGTTGCAGGCTTCATGCCCACCCCCACGTGAGCGGGGGCTGTTTTTAGCCCCCGCAAGAACAGGGGAATCCCAACCGCGTCTCCCCCCCCCCCAGCCAGCCAATCGGCTGGCTGGGGGGGCATGGCCTGCCCTATTTAGGGCCGGCGCAGAGGGGGCTCGTCCTCTTTTCGCCGGCTAGCCCCCACGTTTTCCCACCCTCCCTCCCTTTAGGTAGGCTTTAGGTAGGTCTCTGACTTTGCTATGGACTTCGGTCTGTCGCCGCAAGGGGCATGGTAGGAATTTTTCCCAATTGGCAATTTACAGCCATTTGGTTTTTCGCCTACCTCGTAGCAACTCGTCACAACTCCTCGGCCTTGGCGGTTAGGCATTGGTAAGAAGGGGCTAAGAGGTTGTGGGGGGGGGGAGGAACGCCATCACCTCCCCCCAGTGAACGAAGGGTGGTCCGATAAAGGACTCTGGGGGGCGTGGCCCTGTCCGAAGCCTATGGAGGTGTGGGCCAAAGGCACGCCCCCGAGAGGTGACCCGGGGGAGCTCCTAGTTGACGTGCCTCAGCAGGAGACTCCCCCTCTATGGTGTTAACCCTTCCCGTGTCTCCAGCAAATGGGCTGGAGCCGGATAGTCGATAGGACCAATGCCTAAGCCAATGCCTCTCATTCCTGAATTCAATAAAGTTGTGGCCTAATTCGCCCATTTAACCTTAAATTATGGTGTCTCGTGTCTTTATTTATCCTGGTGGGGGGCGGGAACTCGCCATGCAAACAAATCACAAGTGGTAACCAAGGCTTATTCTTGGGTTATTAAGTAATCAACATTTATTCTTAGGGAAAGCAAACCATGAGTCTGCATTTGGACAAAGACTGGCTAGGTTCATCTGTCCTGCAATAGGAGTAGGGAGGCATGCCCTGGGAACTTTTGAGCAGTGTGCACTGGTAGACTGCTTGTTCATATCAAACAGCAGTTTGTTTTGAACTATGGTTTAATGTTACATGCAAACTAGGCTACTGATTCATAACCTCTACTACCTCCCTGGCCATAGCTGTATTATACCTGAAGGAGCGTCTCCACCTCCATTACCCACCCTGGACACTGTGGTCCAGCTCACTGCGAGACATAAAGCTACAGGGAACCAGACAGAGGGCCTTGTCAGTAGTAGAACATCCTCCCATCAGATGTCAAACAGATAAACATCAAGTTGACTTTTCGAAGACACCTGAAGGAAGCCCTGTATAGGGAAGTTTTTCATTGTTAATGTTTTATTGTGTTTATAATATTTGGTTGGGAGCCATCCAGAGAGGCTGGGGCAACCCAGTCAGATGGGTGGCTAATAATCATCTTCATCATCATCATCATCATCACTGGGTATCACCTGCAGGTTGATGACAACGCAGCCCCATACTCCAGATGACATATCCCAGTGGTGTCATGTAGATGGTAAACAACATGTGCGATAAGTGTGTTCCACTTTCCACCCCACGTTTACTCCTAGAGGCTGTGCTGCTGCTTCACCCTTCCTCTCTCCTGTTAATTTACTGAAGGGGGATGAGAGAGCTGAGGTACTGTTTTTTGGAGTCAAAGGAGGGAGAATGAGAATTTAGCCCTAAGCCATGCTTGGTTGCTTGCCTATGGGCCAAAACAGTGGCAGTGTGGTTGCTCACTGCCTCTTTCCAATGTTTTGTTTGGTCACCTGCTGCTCAGCCAGACAAGACAGAGCTCTGAGCCAGTGGCAGGTGAAGGGGAGAAGGGCAAGAGGTGCATGTGGGTTTGCTAGTTTTCACCCACCTGAGTTTCTAACCACCACCTTATCCTTGAGAAATAGGTACTCTGAGAGGCCTTTCCCCAACAGATTGTGAGATCTATTATTTGGGGTTTTTTTTTTGGAAAAATGATTTTCTGTTGTTGGTTGGATTTTTTTATCAAGCTGCCTGAAAGGAGAATGTGGGTGGGGCAGGGAGTTTCTCAGATAATTGTGCACTTTTCCATAATTTTTTTCACATTGGGAACAAGCTTCCTTTTTTGTTCTGCTGTGCCCCATTTTTGGATGTTTTCATTCTTCTCCATGGGCAGAGGGATATGTGCTAAAGAATTAAGTACAATGAAAACCCTTGATGAAATTTATTTACAAATGGGTGCCTATTTGATTTGCATGAGTAATATACATGTGCAAGCACACACCTGGAGCCGTTTGGTAGCTTTTAAAAATGCTGTTAAGTTATTCTGATTTTGAGTGCTGTGAATTGGCACCAAATTGTTGGACATTAAATTTATTATTGCAGTTTATCAGGGAGGGGGATAAGCATAGACTTAAGAGAAGAATATTTTTGTTTGACTAGAAGTGGTTTAGCAAAACAGAAACAAATAGCCTTACCTGTTTGACCTACTTTTGATCTCTGTCTCTTCAAACTGGGTGCAGTAGTGTTTGGGAAGATAATCTGTCTTTGTTTTTGATGTGGCAAGAAACATTCACCTTCTACAGTGTTTGTTCTTGTTGCTGTTTTGCATTATTCTTTCTTGAATTATGAGCATATAAAAATAAAAGCAAGGGTAATGAAAATATCTATAGGCAAGAATGGATTTGAGGAGTCTGAACTTGTTCACATATTTGTAGACTTGCAGTACATTACCAGTTTGTACAAATATCTACTTATAAAAGGACATATTTAAATCAAATTACAGAACCAATCCAACAATATTTTAATATGCTTTGTGCTTGAATGATCCATGCAATGGATCCGTGGGGCCTTTGTTCTCTCAACCACCCAGCGTGTGTACCCATTAGCAGGAAACTAAGGAGGACACAGCAAAACTGTTCAAGGATATTCCATGTTACATTTCCTTTTCTGTATTTCTGCACTGCTTTCAGCTCCATCCCAGGCAGAGGACTCTATAACTAACTGATTCTATGAACAAGAAGTCAGCCACCTTGCAATAGAGAGAGGGAACCAGCAGAGGGAGGAACATTGGGGACTTCATCCTATCAATTGTTGAACACACCCGCTCTTTAGAGTAGCACATTTAAGCTGTGAATGGAGTGAAGTGGAATTAATTGTGTGAAGCTTGTGATCTGCCACACATTGCTTAAGAAGCAACGGTATTTTCCACATTGGAGTTCAAACTCAAGTAACTGAATGTGGTTTTGCAGTACATATGCCAAGAAGTGTTACAATTTATCTACAAGGTTGTTTACATAATTAAACAACTTTATAGATAAATTGTAACACCTATTTTGGACGATCTGCACTGGCAGCCTGCATGTTGCAAGGGCCTGATTCAAGGTACTGATACAAATAGAAGCCCCTGAAAGTCTTTATTTGATGGGGTTCCCCTTCCCATACAACCCCTGGGGTCATTAGGAGCCCCTGCTTGTGGTCCCACCAGTGGGTGTAGCTTGTTGTGTAGTGACCTGAGCAGGGCCTTCTACAAATATAAGATGAGCATGCTGAATGATGTCAGTGGCCCATCTAGTCCAAGTGTGCTCCCAACTGTGGAATGGCAAGGAAGGTTCACTGTTATTACTAATTTGCTGACTGGTGGTGAAAGCAAGCCAGCTTGGATCATTTATGTTACTTGTTGGTCCTGCTAGCTAAGGATGATGGGAACTGTAGTCTAAAAACAACTGGAGACCCAAGTTTGGTAAACCCTGCACTAGGGTATTAATCTCTTCATGCATTAATTAGACTTGAGCATGTTTGTTATATGAGGCTGGTTATCCCACACTACTGAGACATATGTATCAGTTTAAACATAAATATGCTAAGAAAATGTTTATATAGCTCATTTAAACAGACATACTGTATAATGAGTGTCACCATAGTGGGTGGGGGGAGACTATGACCAGGTGACCTGCTCAGTTTGTTGCTCTGTCTTTTTTTCTAGCTGGACTGGAACTAGAGTTAATGGGGTTGTTTTACTAGCCTGTGGATTACTAATGAATGGGATGGGTTTTACATTTATTTTTTGCAATGAAGTTCATTTTATGATGTTATTTTTCATTGCTGTATGTTTCTTTGTCATAGAACTGTTTAAAATGAGAACAAACAAATTCCTCAGGCTTACATTTAATCCCCACAGGGAATTTAATACAAGGTGTTGTATGTTTTCTTTTCCTTCATGGGAAGGAGCAATCTAGATTCTGAGTGGAGAAGTGGCTGGCAGGAAGAAAGTTGACCCCCCATTCTTTACCTGTCATACTTCCACTCCCAATTTCAGTGCCTAGTTCTTTGCTAATAAACCCCTCAAACACCAAGGGAAAGTTACACAGAATTCCAGGTAAATTATAGTTTGGCCCTAAATAGAGTGTTTTAACTCAGGCTAACTCTAGAAAATCATGAGCCCAACCCTGTGGGAAGAGATGAGTTGGATGTTTTATTCCATTGATCTGATGAGTTATTTTCCAGAAAGAGCTCTGAGCTCTTAAACATATGGACTTCTTGTTAGGATCACTTGACACCTCCTGGTCTTTCCTCCTTGGGCGTAAACAGTTCTAAATGACCTGTCATTTTGCAAAATCTCATGTACCACAGCAAATGCAAACACTTTACATTTATGGAAGGTTTCAGCTACAATAATATTTACCTTTTACATTTTGTTCTATCTATAAATCCTTTTTACGGCAGGTTTTAAAAAATAAGTAAATGTTATATGACATTTTTATTACCTATTTATTTAATATCTCAAATTAAATGTCCTACTGCTGCAATTTGGAGGTTATGAAAATGTTGAGAGAATGACACCCTACTAGTTCTGCAGATCTCAGTCCACCCACTTGGAGAAAGTCACTTTGAAAAATGCAGCTTATGCCACTCAGGAGCAAATGGTTTGGGGATCGTAGCCTAAAACACCACGTAAAGTAATACATTACCATAACAGTGTACCACAACTGCTTAGCTCTGACATTGTGCTAGTGAGGATTGCACATTCTGCTCCATGCTAATCTTATCAGGAAGCAATGTAAAGCAGTTCTGTCTAGAGGCAGATTCCACCCAAGTGCCATTTTCTTGACCGCATACTTCATCTTTTCGTGTCATTAAAAATGAATATGGTGTGTGTGTTTTCTTGACCTTTTCCTTCAGTTTCAAAGATGTCTCAAGGCAAGCACAGATTCTGCTGTCCTACTTGCAAATGCATTATAAGAGCTTATATCTGCAATCTAAACATGCAGGCTTGTGATAACAGCTATTTTACAAATAAGTTCCAAAAACTTACTGGCCTACATGATTTTTTGCTAGCATGCCTGCCTATCTCCACATCTAAAATGTAAGTCATATTAGTTATCTCAGCAGCCCCAAAGTGTGAAGTACCAACCCTCTACCAATTTCCCCCCAAAAACACACCTTGCCTGGTTAACTAGAAGACATGCTTAGGGACTTCCGGGTTGGGGCCTCTCGCAATGGCAGATTTCCTCCGATCGGGAGGAATCCGCTCCGTGGAAAACAGGGTCTGAACCGCCACGGCCCATCAAAAACCACAGGCGGGAGAAGCCTGTGGATGTGGGATTCGGCCGGCACCTTTGCGCCCCCCCTACTCGCGGGGAAACCCAATTTCGGGGTTCCGGAGCGACATGGGGTGAGTGGCGCGGTGCCTTGAATCGACTGCTTCTTGCACGGAGTGAAGCCGCATTGCTGTTGCCGGAGAGCGCTGACTTTTTCCTGTGGACAATTGGAGCTTAAATAACTGTCTGTGAGTAGAACGGAAATTTGGAATAAGAAATTTCTTTTAATTTGGCACTGAAGCGGGAAGGTCTAAACAGGAAGTCTGCCTTCCTCTTTTTGTAAATAGATTGAAGCAAAGACACGGCAAGCTAGAGCTTAGAAAATCATCTGTAAAGGATCAATTTTCATCATTTAAAATTACTGAACCCCCCTTGGAAGCAGGAGAAGAGGGGGGAACTTTTTCTGGACTGATTAAACTTGCAGAAGATAAGTAAAGAAAAGCAATTCTCCACCGTCCTGAACCTGGGAGCGGGGTGTCAGGACAGACGTTTTCGGGAAGTTCATTGACTACTATAGACAAACGTTTTTGACAGATAGTTAAAAGAAGAGAAACATATTGATTCCATTGTTCCCCTTCACATCTAAAAGGAACAAAATATTGACAAAATATCTGAAAAAGGAAACTTTGTTGTTAGATTCGCTTAAAAAAAAAAAAGAGAGAGATGGATACAAATAGAAGCTTTTTCCCCTAGAGGGAGCTTGTGAAACTGTTATTAAATCCGAACTGGGGAGCTTTGCAGCTGCAATAGATTAAGATCGTGGGATCAGACTTTGACCTTCAACAAGAATGTACTCGGAGGCTCTGGTGTTGGCCTTTTGTAAGACAAGTGCTTTATTGGAACAGTTACATGAGAAGATGGATTTGATGACTGTTGGGATCGGAAAGTTTGGACAGGCAGTGGGTACCTATATAGAACCCACTCAGGAATTAATTCAGGAGTGTGCTTTGACAGATCAGATGAGGGAGGAGGTTGTTGCTGGACCTAGTGAGGCAGAGATGGAGGGAACTGTGGCCCTGCAGGAACATGAGTTGTTGGACTTGACGAATGAACCTGGAAAAAGCCAGATTTGGAGAGACAGAGTTCTGTTTGGCTTGGAGATGGGGGGCTGGATAGACCCCCCTATGCAGGGATGTTTTGATCTTTCAAGTCTGGCTTTGGGCCAGGAGGCGTTCGGAGTTGTGCGGGCCCTTAACTTTGGAGGGACTTTGAAACATGCTTTTAAATACCACATGGAGTTCAGTGTTGACTTTGGAAAAGGGGCTGATCTGTCGAGAAGGGACAAAAACATTGTCAAGCTGGAGTCTCCCCGAGTGAAAGGAGCAGAAGACAAAGTAAAGCACAGGTATAAATATGAAGAAGATCTGCGGATGGGACATGGAAGAGATCCAAGGGCCTCGAATATAAGGTTACCAGGTTGATGGACTAGATGGATGGGATAGAAAGGACTGACAAAACCCGAGACCAGGAGAAAGAGACGTTGGATGAAGATTGGAAGAAAGTTTTAAACAATTTATTTAGGAAAATCTTGTAAAAGTAAAGAGTATTAGAAAAATGTTGGAATGAAATTATTTGGCTTTAGCAGAAATGTTAAAAATAATTATGTAAGAATATGTCATGGTTAAGAGAATTTGGTATAAATAAGATTTAAGTTTTAAGTTTTAGGGCCTTTTATGGCAAGATAAGGTTAAAATAGATTAAGGTAATTTAATGACAGAATATTATGAAAGATGGAAAGGATTTGCTGAGATGATTAACAACTAATTTTTTTTAAAAAAAGAAGAAGACATTCTTAGAACAGAAAGTAAACAAGTGTCTTTTTACAAGCCTGGCCAACAGAAATGGCCCCAGAGTGCAAAAATGCATTTATGATGCTACGTAGCAAAGTATTATCTAGTCTCTCCCCCTACTACACTTTTATGATACCACAACGATCTAACTGGCAGTATGTCAGCTTGTCTTATCTTGTCTTTATTCTCATTATGCCTGAAGTAGAGGAGCCTTGGGTGGGGTTGAAAATTTCAAGGATTTTCAAATTGAAGCAGCACAAATCAAAAGACATGCTTTTATAGATAACATACATTGTTCCATGAACATGCATGGGGTGGGATGAGCATTTGGGCATCATGTCTTTTCCCTGACCTGCGTGTATATATGTGACAGTCAAAGTAGAACATGCAGATGTATAATATGCACAAAGGGTATGATCAGGAAGCCTATTTTTTTAATCCAGCTTCTGTCTAAAGAAGGTTCACCATATCTTTAAGCAAAAATGGATACTGTGAGCTGATACAGAAATGTTCTTCAACATTAAATCATGTTTTATAATTCAGTCGACTGGAAGTTCTCCATATGCCATGCTGACATTACTTTTTACTAATTGATGTAAGAAGGATTGATGTAAGAAAAAAAGTTGGCTTAAAAATAGTACATGCAGCAGCTAGCACCGTTACTTTGTTTTTGTTTTGATGAGACATTTTACTTGAGGGCAAGGCAACACCTACACTTTGAAGCAAGACACTGGCCTGGTTTGCACAACACTTTAAACCACAGTTAAGTTTAACTCGGAAAGCCCAATCCACTTTGGTGCCTGGTCTTAAAAAGCAAGCCTAGAGTGCAAGGCTGGGGTGATGTCAGCAGTTTCCAGGGGCCATTTTCTTTGTGAGATTTTGTGGGTGAGCTATGAGTTTGTTTGAGCCTTGGGTGAGAGCCAGAGTAGAATTCTGGATAAGAGCCAGGAGGCTGAGAGGGGAAGTGTGCCAGAATGTGAAGGAACTGATACTGGTCTATATTCATACAGTAAGTGATTTTGTATTCATGAAACATTTGTATATGCTACTATATATTTATATAACTTTTGTTGCCTGAGTTGTCTCTTGTTATTGCTTTAGTTTTCTGTACACAGCTAAGAGAGATATTGTTATAAATTAAGCAGTATAGAAATTGTCTAAATAAATATAAAATAGTGGCTATTTTGCTTCTTCCCAATTTCTGCTGCACTGTTGCGAGCTAAGGCATTGTGTTATGTCAGAACCCAGTCTTGTAGTTTGTCTCCCCCCAAACAAACCTTGAGCTATAACCAAGATTTGCTATTGGCTTACTGCTCACCATTTGTTTGAAACAGAGGAATCACAAACCTGGCTTTGAATGTAGCATTTAACCAAACAATGACTTTGCTCCTTGTAATATGGCAGCAGGAGCAGGGCAAAAGTGACCACACCAGCATGCTGTGTGTTCATCTTTAAACTATAGTTAGCCTTAATTATGGTTTAAAGTGTCCTGCAAAGAAGATCACTGTTTCTACACGTCATATTTTCCCCAATGACCTCCATTTTTTATTGTTCAGATTAAGTGGGGGGGGGGGATCAAATGTCAGAAACTATGAATTCCAACCAATCTAATGAGTGACCAGTTTTTGTAAAAGTATTTCATGTGGGCAGATAATATTTAGAAGGCCCTCTGAGACTTCTGCATGCATTTTGAAATGGCTAAGTGTCGATTTTATATTATTTATGCCTCTTTGAGTTTTTAAAAGTTGTTGAATAAATTAATCCGCTTCATTAAGCCCCCACCCCACCCCCACTGCTCTGCTTTAACTTGGCTGCATATTATTTCCTCTTTTTTTCTGCAGTGACTCCTAATTATATATGGCAGAACCATATATAATTTCTAAATACTTAAAGAGCAACAAAATCCTCATTATGTATGGTTTCAGGGCTGCAGAAGGTGATAAGATAATAATGAGGTCTGTAACCACTTTAAAGAGAGTAAGAGCTGGGGCCACGTTCTGCCCTCAGTTACTCCAAATAACTGCATTGACGTCATTAGTAAGTAATTGAGGTCGGAATTTAGCCTACAGAGCTTAAGGTCATTAATCCTGGTGATTTTAAGTAAATTGCTGTGAGAAGGACGCTGTTTATAGCTATGTAACTGTGAAGCGTGAGGCCTGCTTTTGCATATGCAATATAAAACAAATTTGGAGCCAACTTCACATATTTGAAGGAAAATAAGCTTACTTTCCACAGAATGGACAAGTATAGGATGGAAGGCACACAAGGGAGTATATTTTTCATAAAAATATTTAGACTTAATTGAGAAAATAATTGAAAACACTGGTATATATTAATCTTTTGGTGTATAAATTTTAGTTTATGTACAGATGATGAATACAGTTTTATTCTGTCTAGGTGCCCAGAAAAAAGGAGATTCTGTCCATTACGAACTCTTGTTTCTCACAAAGTAGTACAAATATTTATTAAATGTTGGGTATGCCTGCTGTGTTTTCCTTTGAAACAAACACCCTAATAGCATGTTAGAGAAGGTTTGATAACTTTTCCTTCAAACCTTGTCCTGTTTATTTGCCAACTCATGACTTGGGACTCCTCCCAATAAAATCATTGTCTGAGCTGGCAGTGACGGGCCAGAACAGAGATCGTGGGGTTTTGGTGCACAGCTCATTGAAAGCATTTATCCAGTGTGTGGTAGCTGTGAAAAAAACACATTCTATTTTAGGGATCATTAGGAAAAGATTCAAAAACTAAATTGCTAATTAGAGATGAAAGGAGCTGTCAATTTCAGTTCTCTCTGGTTCTCATTTATGCAGTCTTAATTTCAGTTCACATTTCTGCAGTGGTCTGCAATTTAAAAAAATCCTCATTAAAATTATTCAGCATTTTAGTGTGAATAGATACTGTATGCAGTTTTGATTAATGTGCTAATTTTTGCAAGTCATTTTGACTGATATAATGCATTTTTGTATAGTATTTTCACAAATACAGTCGTTCTTATGAACACTTACTCCTAATACATGCATTTTTAAAACACTGTTTAATGGGAGAACTGCGTTGCAAAATTCAGATAACTGAATATTCCAACTAGAGAGTGTGAGGAAAGGAGATGCTGATGGGGGGGTGGTGTTGAGAGAACAGAGACCTGTGTGACACATGGTCTGTACTCTGCCTGCTAAAACACCTTGATGCCCTTAAGGTGCAGTAGAGGACTGTGTCTTGTAGCAAGTGTTGACATAAGATTCAGCTGTGTGTCCCATCAACTTCTACATGTAATAATAACAATAACAACAGCAACAGCAGCAACAACAACAACAACAATTTATTATTTATACCCCACCCATCTGGCTGAGTCTCCTCAGCCACTCTGGGCGGTTCCCAATCAAGTGTTAAAAACAATAGAGCATTAAATATTAAAAACTTCTCATTCCATGTGGAATGAGAGGGGTGTCGTCTTTGTCTTAGGTAGGGAAAATAAATTCTGCTAGCCCTACACAAAGTAAACTAAGGAATTCACAACCACAAGATGTGGTGGTCACCAACTCTGATGGTTTTAAAACAGGATCAGACCAATTCAAGGAGGAGAATGCTGACACTAGCTACTAATTTGCTATATGTACGACCATAAATAGCATGCCTCTGAATCAGTTGCTGATGGAGAACAGTGGGAGAAGCATATTGCTATCATGTCCTCATTCTGTGCTTCATGGAAGACTCTGGGAAACAGGATGCTGCAGTTGAAAGGTCTTTGGTATGATCCAGGATGGCTGTTCTTAGTACTACAACCCAACCTAACCTTGCCTATAGTGTGATGTGATTTGAGTGTATCTTAGGTGAGGATAAGTAGTCTTTTAC